CTTCAAGTCATAAAGATCAATTTTAATGCAAGATAGCACTGCCTTTCCCTTGGAATATTAATGATTTTCATTTACAATGTTTAAGGTGTTTAAAATAGAAATTTGTTCCTTCTTAAGTATATTGCTATTCTAAATAGGTTGTGTGATTTGTGGGGAGAGTGAAATAAGCAGCAAGTCTTAGTTAATATTTAATTAATATTTTATTGAATTAGTTAATATTTAATACTATCAAACTATTTTAAAATGACATAAAATCAAGAAAATGAGATTTTAAATCAGAATGTATTTTACAAATGATCGACAGCAGTGATGAATTATTCAAACTCAAGGACCTTGAAAAATAACTAATGATAGGACAAAGTATTAACAAGAGATTAAAACTGTCTAAAATCCCAAGGAGCAGAATGAGATTGTACTGGGTTCCTACTCTAGTCCCAAACACTTGGAAAGGAAGGTACTTTGCATCTACACATGCCCAGGTCGTCTTTATTTAGACTCATGTTTGAGGTGAAAATAATCACCGCAATATGACAAATGAAGAACAAAACTCGTGGAGACATTCCCGGAGCTCTAACACATATGCATCTGTCTTCAAGTCCAAGGGCCTACTGGTTATTTTAAATATGTTTTTGAGGCTTTCATACATGAGTCCTATGTTTACATCATTTCCACCCCTCCCTCTCTACCCTACAACTCCCTCCTCCCCTCCCCACTCCCTCTCAAATTCATGATCTCTTCTTCTTAAGATTATTATTGTTACATACACATCTACAGTCACAAACTAAGTACGAATCCATTTAGCATTGCTCATATGTACATGTCTTTAGGGCTGATCACTTGGGATTTGGATAACCTATCAGGGAGCTTATCCTCAGAGGAAAAACTGGGTCTTCTTCTCTCAATAGCTATTGGTTATCTGTAGCTCTTGATCTATAAGACAGGAGCCTTGTGAAATTTCCCCCATGCTGACTGGCATTGTCACTATGCAGAACTTGTTGAGGCAACCATATTGTTGAGATTTCATGAGTACAGCTTTCCTGTCATGGCCAGAAGACACTAGCAAGTAGCAGGTGTCCTGGTCCTCTGGCTCTTACAGTCACTCTGTCCCTTCTGACCCTGATATTCTCTGAGCCTTAGGTGTAAGGGGTGGTACTGTAGATGTGTCAGTTGGAGAGGGGTGCCACATAGCCACTTATTCTCTACATTCTGACAAGTTGTGAATCTCTACAGCAGCCTTCATCTGTTGCAAAAAGAAGCTTTTTGATGAGGAGTAAGAACTATAATTGCCTGTAGGTATAAGGATAAGTTATAGTTAGAAATTATATTGATTCATGAAAAATTCCATTTGGGATTAGATAACCTCTCAGAGAGCCTGTAGAAAACTGATTCTCCCTCCCTCAGCATTTTATTTAGATTTTTAAGTCATTATTTGATCTTCACCATGGCTGGCTGTCAAATGTAACTGGCATTGCTATATCATCTGTATATTTTGAAGGGACTTAATTATGATGAAAAATTTTAAAGATATACAAAATAGAGTTAAGAATCTGAGTCAGGAAATTTTGGTTCCATGACTCCTATAATTCTATGAGCCCCTCACTGAAGGCATCCATTTCCTAGTTTTGATAATGTTGGACAATTTGTTATCTTAATGTAGTCTGTCTTCCATATTTGTAAGTCAAGCAAATCCTAGATATAATCATTCAAATACAAACATCTCTACAAAGTTTTCCTTTAAAAAAATCAAAATGCCATTATAACATCCAACAAAATAAACTATAATTGTGTAATACATCAGTCAACCAGTCAATCTTCATCTCTCTCATTGATTCAGGCATGATCTTTCAAGTTTTAAACATTTATTTTAATGAATACATAACAATATAAACATTGCACAGATCAATGGAGTATTACGATTACTTGGTGCTGTATATATTGTATAATGTTTAACTTGAGCTAAACACATTTATCTCCATAAGAATTCATCATCTCGTTATAGTAAAAATGGGTGGATAGGGTAGAGAAAGGAGTATGGGGAGGGATACCAAACAATAAAGGTCTTTCAAAAAATCATATAGAAGTACACTGCTGTAGAAGCTCTCTAAAATATGCACATATACAATTAAAATTTTTTTAAAGGAGTTACCCTCTAATGGGGGGGTGGCAATATCTCAATTTGAAACCTCACCCTAGCAAATAAAAACCCCAACACCAGAAATAGATTGCCCGTCTTTGAGTGTTTAAACAGTGAGATCCCTTGACCCCTCAAACATTACATGATATTGCCATTGCTCTTGGCTACCTTCCAGAACTTGGAAGTGAGACTCTTTTGCTGAAGACAGCACAGACTTGAGTCATAAAACAAAGGGAAATAAAGGGGATACTGACCTGGAAACTTCTCCTGTACTGACTAGATTTCGTGGTGCTGGAAGGTGCTATGCACACTACTGAAGAAGAAAAGTAATCATCAATAATAGCCACCTGAAAACTGAGAACTGCAATAATGACTGGCCTAGCAAGATATGCCCGTGGGTGCAATTGTGGCATGAGTGTTATTGAAGTAACCAACCAGCCTCTGATTGGACTTAAGGTCAGATTTACAAGATGAAATCTATATCTGACATTATTTTTGAAGCCAAGAGCCTGTCACTAGATAGGTCACAGGCTCTAGGGAACAGTCTGATACTAATGTTCCCCTAATTGGACACAGTCTTAAAATGACTCTTAGTGACTAATTGTCATAGTCATAGGTTTGGGCACATCTCAGTCCTCACTGGAGAAGCTTCTTGCAGTACATGGCAATTAACACGGAGACCTACATCTCTGATCAACATGCAGAGACTAAGAAACTGTAGACTCCACATCCCTGAATGGAACACCTATTTCACATCTATCCCCTCAAGGCTCAGGGATCTTCGTGGAGGATGGGGAGGAAGGACTGTAAGAGCAAGAGATGCTGGAAAACTATAAGGAAACAGTGTTTTCCAGACAGCAGGGCAGTTGTACATATGAATGTGCAGCAATTGTAGCAGCTGGACAAGACCTGCTCCAACTCAAGTCAGATAAAATCCCATCATAGAGTAGGGAAGTTGGCACAAAGTCCCACCCATAGCTAAGGAGCTATTGACAGTTAATACTTGCTGGGAGAGAAGAGTTAGTTTCCTTTAAGGCTATGACCCCAATAGGTCAACTAAAATCCAGAGCAGGTTCTACACCCGAGAGTATTTGAGCAACACAAAGTGGACTTCAGGGGACAGGAGGCAGGGAATGAATGAAGCTGGGTGGGTAGGGAGATGGGAGTGAGCCTGGGAGGAGTCGGGGGAGGGAAGAATATGATCAAAATTATTGATCAAAGAAATCTCAAAGAATTAATAAATAAAAATATTTTTAAAACATTCAACATCTTAAATTTTTACAAGAGAGCCAATTTTAAAGTGCACCTATGAGGACGTTACATTTCATTAGACTGCCTTAATCTGTAACAATCACTTCTGCCTCCCACCATGCTGACCTCCTGCGGAAGAAACCAGACTGCTTATCCTGTAGAATTCTTCATGTCCTAAACTTGGCTTCCTAATGGCAATCTTTTGTCATGTAACATTTATTTTCTGATTATTCCAATATTTTCTATACAAATCATAGTTCATACTAATTTCAAAAATGTCCCAAATTAGTGAGGTTTCTTTAGTTTGTCTCTCTTTACATAAAATAAAGTACTTTAAAAATCTTGAGTCCCATTTCACTGCACATTTTTTAAAACCTACAATCATAAAATTCTGTCATTTTCTCATACGTAAGTAGGTATGGGTGAAGATACAAGGGAGGAGCAAAGAAAGCACATTCGAAGACGGTGCTGTCACTTCTCTCAGCATTGCCTCAGGAGGGTGGACTGCTAGTGATGCCAGTGGAATAAGTTTTAGAAACTATCTTCAAAAAGTAAGAAAAATCTACATTTTCAAAATGATACTGAAAAAAATTTAATCCTAAATTGACATTAAACTGAAAACTAAAAATGGGAAAATAGGGCACAAGAAAATATAACCATCATTATGGTCTATTTCTCAAATGTGCTAATATACTAGGTATGGTGTACACATGTGACATGAACAAAACATGACAAAACCAGGCTGGAAATTACAATAGACAATGTGCAATTCACACAGGCTAAAAGTAAGAACACCAAGCTCTACAAAGACCTTGGCTTTATTATTCTTTGATGCAACAGTAACTATGTAAGAGGTATTACCGAAAATAACAGAACATGACAGTTGACATTTAATATTAAATGCCTAAATTTGAATGAATAATTAGGTCATATAAAGTACACTGAATAAAGTAATTGGGAAATAAAGAGATATTTTATGATTTAATATAAATTCAAACTATTACAAATGTGGTGGGCTCTGAATTTATTTGACAAGAATATATTAACCACTCATTAGAGTTCTAATGTGTGTGCCTGAAGGCTTGTTTGCAGCTGTTAATAGTAATTATTAGCACTCAAATCAACCTAAATACATCTTCATTCACCTATGTTGTTAGGGAAGCTGTGCATAAAATTTAGAATATCAGATCTAGATCACCAATACATCCATTTGTTAGGTAAAATAAACTATGGTAAATAAGTTTGTAGTCATTGTTTTATTTCACTGCAAACATAGAATATAAGTGTATTAACTTGTTAAGTATTTAATTGGAGCTTTTCTTCCTCTGAAAAGATTCTTGTACAGTGTTTAATAATTATCTTCTACATAGATTCCGGTCTCCATAATTGAAATCATTTAGTACCCAAAACTCGACAGCATACAGTACCTGGCTCGTTCCTGCATTCTTCTTGTAAATGGAGAATGAGAGGACTGTCCATCATGCGTTGTCTAAACAGCGTGGAGCTTAGAGCAAATGCTCTGCTGAGTGCTAATGGCCTAGAACTGGGGTGTATTATACTGAGTGCTAATGGGCTAGAACTGGGGCTGTATTGTACACATTCATTCAACCCTTACCTGGAGGTTGAAGATTCTGTTCCTCTAAAAATTCTAAATCAAGCATTAGATCATCTTCATCCAGTTCACAAGATCCCAAATTATTTAAAACATCCTGAAAGAAAAGCAAAACTGATTTAGAGATCCTGGTACAGAGAAATTGAGGAAAAAAACATATACACAAATCATGAAGCAAAAAAGAAAACCAACAAATCAGAATTCATTTTACACCTGTGACTTCTACTTCTACAAGTCTGATAAAACATTTTAAGAATTATACTATAAATGTTTTAAACTTTTCTGAGTATTCGCTTCCTTAAAACATTCACATCTACTAAAATCTGTAACATAAAGTTTTCAATATATATAGACCATTATCAAACATATAAAAACATCGGAATATATTCCCAAGCATTATAATATAAGTATTTATTTTCAACAAAACTTCAATTGCCATTAAAATCATAAAAATTTACTTACTTAAAATGTATTACAAAGTATGTCGATTTTTTTTCAAAACCCCAGAAATCTTCAAATGAAATTTTAGTTTCTTTTTCTAATATTTGTATTTAAAAACTAGGTAACATTTTGTGGTGTATGTAGTCAATTATTTCTCAGCTGTTGCATACGGAGGAAATGACAGAGCATTCATTTAAGTAACTGATCTAACTAGGGATTCAGTTTCCATTTCCCAGTCATTTAGCATCGATCAAGAGGAACAGACAGATGAGATACTTGTCAGTAAACATAAAATTAACTATCGACATCATTTTTCAACAGTACATCAGATACAAAATTATTTTTTTTCCAAGAAGGTAAAAAGCCTAGGAAAGTGAAGCAGTCTACGGTACTGAGAAGTCTTATGAGGCGGTACCACTGTGCACAGGTGGGAATCCTTGAGGGTAAGTAAAATCCTGACTGATGTAGTTTTGTACACATAAGCAGCGGGTATGTTGAGAGGAGCAAATTAGGCCGACAGTTAGAGACTAGGAAGGAAAGGACTGCAGTACAAGCAGCACATGAAGAATCACAACGTAAATGCTGAATGACACAGTAACACCCCACACCACTCTTCAATCGATCTGAACGTTACCACAGTTTATGGTTCAGGAAGCAAATACTCATTAGGAAACAGCTAATGATATTGTCAAATGGACTGAACATTTTATTCTTAGAATTAAAAGAGCACTGGGAATTTTACATAAATTACTCTCCTTTGAGAGATAGAATTAAATTTTATTAAACTTTAGAAACATGTGATCCATGAACAGCCCAATGATTTGAAAGGTCATAAATATTCCATTCTAAATGTTTCTTTCTCCCAATGAGAATAGCTAACAAATCAAACTCTGTTTATTGGAACCTCTGTCCTGTGCTGTGACTGGGACATCACAGGACATACATCTAAAAGTTATACAATATAGGCAACAAAAGATAAAATGCTACACTAAAATAAAGGAAAAAGACCAGCTCAACAACAAAGACCAAAACTGAATCCAAACCTATAAATCAAAGAATGTTTGAAAGGGTGACTCGGTAAGACCCCAGCAGCAGCATTTATGGAACATTATCCAAATGAGAGAGTACGTGACAGCCATAATTATCTTGGTGAGGGCTGAAGCGATGACACAGGCTCACAAGGAAAAGACGAAAGCATGTTGTTCAAACAAGAAAAAAGCACATTTTATTGCCACGGTGTAGTAATTACCCAGCTTTACATTAGGCTAAGTCATTTTATACTAGATTTTCAATTCATTGGACTATTACTGTCCAAAATTCACATGCAACTGTATGGCCCAGAGCCTTAAATTTTGATTGTATTTAGAGGTGCTAAAAACAGATGCTAAATGAGGTCATATGGATCAATCCTGATGCAGTGTGAATGGCCAGTAGAAATAGGAGTTGTGGACAGAAAGGGGCAGCCATGTGAATACAGAAAGAACCGTCCTTTATAAACAGAGGCTCTGGAGAAGCAAAGCCACTGACACCTGGATCTTGTAGTTCCAATATCTTTTCTTATTTCACTATGAAAATGAATCCCTGTTGTTTAAGCTATTCAGTCTTTGGTATGTTTCTGTGTTGGCCTTAGCCAACTAAACCACCAGCCATACTTTGAAAGCACTGAAAGGAATTCATTTCTGGCATAGGGCCATTATATAAAAACAATTCAAGTAAGAACTTACATATTTTGAGCTTTAGTGATGTGGTTTGCATAATGTTCCTCCCTTCAGACACCAGGTTTCTAGATTCTGGCATGAGCCAACTCGCTAAACATGGCAGATGGTCTAAGACAGTCTCTTAACCAATGTAGTAACCAGAGCCCTTCCTCAGAAGTGACAATGGTCTGTGCTGGTCGCAAATATGGCAAGAGGCAAAATGCCATCTGCATAGATAAGGCTACGGCATTCATTTAATGTGCAAGAATAGCCAAGAACACTTGGAACACTGCCATAGGTATAGGCATGTGGGTGCTAGTCCCAGCTGGTCCCAGGGTCAAGGACATTCTCAATCTTTTTCCTATTAGTTCCATTCAGCCCCTTTTGAATTTTTGTTTTTGATTGTTTTGCTTTGTTTTTTGAGATGGAGTCTTCCTGTAGCCCCAGTTAAGTTAGAACTCACTATATAGACCAGGCTGGCCTCAATCTCACAGAGATCCATCTGCATCTCTCTCCTGAGGGCTGGGACTAAAGGTGTGCACCACCACACTTGACAGTTTTGAAAATTTTAAAGACATCAACCCACAGATGGAATAGTTACACACCCCCAAACATTTTATTTTTTATAGAGAAATACAACCTACCACAGCTATCCCAACATTTCATACAGGAGAAATGTGCCAATAAAGGGAACAAATAGGAAACCCAGTACATGGTTTGGATTTGATTTCCATTTTGTAGGTGACTCTTGAAATTTGAACTAAAGCTCCATTTCTCAAAGATCTGGGTGAACTACTGCCCAAATCTACTCATTCTAAATGGGCATGCTCTCATGTCTTGCTTACAAAGTCATGCTTTGTATAGTGCAGACACTTTGAACTTGGATAAACCACAAATAAAAAGACAAATACAAAAAACTGAAACAAGCTGGGTGTGGTGGTGCACGCCTGTAGTCCCAGCACTCAGGAGGCAGAGGAAGGCGGATCTCTGTGAGTTCAAGACCATCCTGGTCTACATATTGAGTTCCAGGCTGGCTTGGGCTACAGAGAGGTCCTGTTTCAAAAATACGAAAAAAAA